AGTTTCAGGTTAGCACATTTGTCATTTGTTTGCAGTCATTTTTTTTAAATAGAGGTTTTAAATCTGGTATTTAACATGGAATGCAACAGGCCAAGCGGCAGAAGGCACAGGATATTCAGAGAAAGAATATCCACCCCCACAGGTTGTCTCGTGGGGGTTATGAGAAATTGGAGGAGAAGATGATGAAGGAGACATCTTCAAGTCATCCTTCAGATGAGTCGGTTGTGAGTGCTGTCACTCGCCCTTCACGCCATGATAAATGGAAGAGAGCTCGCCAGAACTCATCAGGGAATTACTTATCTGAGCAAACTAATGTTGTAGCTCAACGTATTGTAAGTAGCATATCCTAAACTAATTATATATTTGCTACAATAAGCATATGTATTTGCTAAAAAATCCTTCCTTTGTGTTGTAGGATGAGTTGGTTGAGCGGAGCACTCGGGGATCATTCCACCCACATGGCCGTCGGGATATATTGGCGAGTGACCATTGGTACCCCAGAGCATCCTGGACGTGTTCGTGCTTGCCTGGACGAGGGGTGGGCATCGAGCAGGTACTTTGGTGCCCCACCCGTTGCAACTCCTACTTTGAGGCAGCTGAGTGAGTTGGAGTTTGAGTCCCTCAAACAACAAATTAGGAAGGAGATTCGAGATGAGGTATACTCTGACTTGAAGGCAGAGTTATTGAGCTCAATGCGAGCAGAGTTGGCATCTTTGTCCTCTCAACCTTCTGTCCCCGCCCGAGAGGCATCCCCGATTCATGTCAGCACAAAGGAGAGTTGTGATGCTCCTGATAGAGGGGCAGAGGTTGCTCCTACTGACACTGCTGACTGTGAGTTGAATGTTGCGGGTCCTCCCGAGCATTTGGTGGCATACGGTACGTATTATATCTTTGACATGTATTTGGTACACTGTTAAGCATTATATAGTCTAAAATATTTTATCATTTGTTTACCTTAGGGAAAATGTATGCATTGGGGTCAACCATCCACCACCAGAGTATTGGACATGATATGATAAGAGTGGTGGTTGTAGATGTCCGGGATGCTGCTGCCCCAATCCCGGTTCCCACTGAAGAGGTTCAAACAGTGGGACAGGCACCTGGAAATTTTATCTTATGTCCAGTTTCATTAAAAAGACCCATCCCAACACATTCACAGGTTGTGTCATGCATTTATCCCTTTTACTTATTATTTTTTGATAGGTTGATGTATATTAATGTTATTTATTTTTGGTACTTGTATAGAAAGAGGCTGAAAAAGCAAAGGAAGTTGTGCATGAATCACCACCACCACCGACTGCTTTACAGCGACTCGGTGCACTAGCAGCGACTATCGGGACCACTCCCATACAGTTAGATATGCCACCCGAAGTCGTATGCGGGACCCGGATGATCCCTTTTTCTTACTCCAAAGGGATATTTTTGATCTTCTCGCTGATCCTGATATGCTATGTGTATCGGTGTTGCAACTTTGGAAATTGTAAGTATATTTACATATTTTTTATATTCTCAATGGTACATTATTTTATAACTTTATTTATTTTCAATGTTGAAGGTATTTACATCGTTTGTGTGTTGAGAGGAAGATTGCCTTTATCTATGGATTTGTTGACCACTGTTGCCATTCGAGTCCATTGGGAATAAAGCTGAAGAGGTGCAAACGTACTTAATAGAGACATTTCAAAATGGGGGCAAAGAAGTCTACTTAGCACCTTACTTGCATCAATAAGTATACATCTTATAAATTAATAAACATTTATGTAAAACTGAAATTTTACTAATATTATTTCAACGTGCAGGGGTCATTGGCAGCTCATAATCATTGTTCCTCGGCAATTTGTTGTGATTCTCTTGTGTTCATTACACAAGAAACCAAATGATTTGGATATTAGAAAGCACATAGACGCGTAAGTTTGGTTTTTTTAATTGATTTTTTAATTGTTGTATCATATGTGCACTTACACCAAAATTATTTGTCCTTTTGTAGAGCTTTGGAAGCTCACCTAAGGTTGCAAGGCCTTCCATCTCATGCTAGAAAGAAGTTGACGTATATTGCACCAAAGGTGACCAAACACCTCTTATTGTTGTTCAATTTGTCATTTAAAGTTAAACTAACATGTATTTAACTTGTACTGTCCACGCCAACCGGGAAGCCATGAGTGCGGGTATTATGTGATGAAGCACATGCACACCATCGTAGCCAAAAATATTATGGGCTCATGGAGGGAGGTAAATATACTATAATTAAGTCAAATATGCCAATTATGTAAATGGTTTCTAAATCTGAAATGTTTCAATATGTAGGCATTTACAGACTCATCTCCAATGAAGATTGAAGTCTTAGACGATATTAGAGAGCAGTGGGCTTCTTTCCTGCTAAGTATTCAATCTTCATAGCAAATTTGACTTGTAACAATTATGATTGAATTGATTTAAGTTAGCAAATTTACATTCGTTTAAGTAAATGAACTGTCTGGAACTGAGGTACATATATTGATTTCAATATGTTTCATATGTACATATCTGTCTGGAACTATATATGAACTGTGCATATCTGTCTGTACAAGGGTTTGGATCTGTGAATATTTGTCTGGAACTGTGATGAATAGGCAGGTCTACTCGAAGAAAGGTAGCATCTGTGAAGAAAATGCAGATTTTAAAAAAAAAATAACACTTTCTACGTCGGTTATGTCATTACCCGACGTAGAAAGTTTAACATTTTATGTCGGTTATAGGCATAACCGACATTGATAACACATACAATCACGGTTACTGTTAACCGATATAGATACTGGGGTTATAGAAAGTTAGAAAGTAAGACTTTCTATGTCGGTTATCAGTGTTAACCGACATAGAAAGTAATATGACAGGTAAGAATTAGTTATGATCGATCAAAATACCCTATGACCGATCAGAACCAGTTATGACCGATCAGAATAGCTCATAGAAAGTAAGCCTTTCTACGTCGGTTCCCTGACTAACCGACATAGAAAGTCTTACTTTCTACGTCGGTTATCAATGTTAACTGACATAGAAAGTAATATGATAGGTCAGAATCAGTTATGACCGATTATGATAGCTCATAGAAAGTAAGTCTTTCTACGTCGGTTCCCTGACTAACCGACGTAGAAAGACTTACTTTCTATGACCCCTGTATCTATGTCGCCGCTTTAACCGACGTAGAAAACTCATTTTAACCGACGTAGAAAACCCATTTTAACCGACGTAAAAAACCTTTTCTGCAGTAGTGTATTATTTCTATTTATTTACTTTATTTTGTTTACTTTTTAAATGATTTAATGAAGAAATTATATAAAAAAATTAAATAACTTATTATGTTATATAAGATTCCTTTAATGAAAATTGCTTAAAACAATTAATATTTTATTTTAATATTTCATCAAACAATTCCCTTATCTTTTTAGTATTTCCACGTTAATTATCTACGACATATGACCAAATTATTAACGAAAGAAAAAAAATACATCACATAAGTTAACTATATCAAACCTCGTGTAAAACATAAAATAAAACTATTTTCAAATAAAAATTATGTCTATTTCTAAAAAAAATTAACAAAATATCATACCAAATAAAATTAGACACGTGAATAAAGCTTAATAATCTCCACACTTATTCCTATGTGAGTGATAATCTTCATTGGTCATATATTACATAAACTAGATGACATGTATAAATTGCAAACACTTAAAAAGGCTACATAAAAAATTTGAAGGTAGGAGGAAAGAAAAAATCGACTGTATTCAACATTTCTTAATATATTAAGTTAATTGAAATATTTACAGTACAAAAAATAAAAATTTGAATAAAAATTATAAGGTAGGAAATAATAATGTATTTTGTTCAATATTTTTAATTATATGATAATATTGAAAATAGAAAATGATTATTTTTTTTATTAAGATGTGATTTTTAATTTTTCATTTCTCAGTTCTCTATTTGAATTATTTAATTTACAATTCACTTACTATTCAAAATTTATTAAATTATTAAGGCTATATATATATATATATATATATATATATATATATATATATATATATATATATATATGAGAGAGAGAGAGAGAGAGAGAGAGAGAGAGATATAGATATAAATATAGATTAATTTGTAAATAAATTAAATGTATTCACTATGAGTAAATTAATATATCTTAAAAGATGTGGCAACTATTTCTTAAAAATGTGAAAAGAAAAAGTTGGAGGTGGGTGGATGAGTAATCTTCATAAAAAATTACTAGTGGCTTTTAACCTATTTTTATAGTGATAATTTTTTTTTTTGAGGAATAAATTATTGCCCGAAAGCTAAAACTATATAAGGTTGTTGAAAGTGAAAATTGTTCAAATAGATTAAAAAATGTAAAATAATATAAAAAAAGACATATCTGAATACGTTTTTCTTTTCCTTTTTTTATGATGAAAATGCATTTTAGGAAATTATAGTATTAAATACAGCAATTATATTTTGTTTTTTATCAAATTAAAATTATCATTAGTACTTTCAAATATTAAAATTGTTTCATTAAAGCTTAAAATAGTAAAAAAAACATATTAAATGATTTGAGAGGGAAGCATATAAATAATTTTAAACATGAGTGTAAAAAAAATTATATTGAAAATATGATGGTAAAATGAAAGAAAAGTATAAGTTTCATTATAGTGAATGTTAAAGGCACTTAAAACTTATAATTTAATGAAGAAATAAAAAGCTTGATCAACACGTAACATACATGCATGCATATATATATATATATATATATATATATATATATATATATATATATATATATATATATATATAAATGTTGACCATAAGATCACATAATTACAAAATACTGTTTAATCTAAAATTTGGTGATTCTTTTGAACTATATATACTAGTCTTCTTAGCTGATTAATTTACTATTTGCTGTTTATTAATGTATCCTCTGTTTCTGTTATTGCTTTGAAATAACAATTGAAAGTGAAGAAGAGGTGGCAATGGAGTCTAAAATTGGATCAACGATTGAGTCTGTTGGAAGTCTATTTAGTGTTGGTAACATTACATCATACTAGAGCAACCTTCAAAGGCTCAAAACCGAGGTTCAAACCCTGGAGACAGCCAAAAATGAAGTGCAAAACTCTGTTGATGAGTCTAAAAGAAATGGAGAAGTGAATGTGAATGTTGTCATGATTTGCATAAGGAAAGTGGATGCTACTGTTGCTGAGGCAAAGAAACAAATAGACAGTGATCTCCATGCAAAAGATAAATCATGCATGATATACTTTCTCAATTTACGATTTAGGAACCAGCTGAGCAAGAAAGCAGAAAAGATGACACAAGAGATTCTAAAGGTCCAAGCTGAAAATAATTTTGAAAAAATTTCATACCCAAGAGAATTTAAACCATCAATGCTGAAAGAGATTCAACAAGCGTTGAAAGATCTCAACTACTACATAATTGGGTTGTATGGGATTGATGGTGTGGGCAAAACAACACTGGTGAAAGAGTTGGCTCGGGAAGTTGAGAAAGATGGTTCTTTTGATGCTGTAGCTATGGCTGAGGTAACAGAGTATCCAGATGTGGAAAATATTCAAGGCCAGATTGCTAATGCGTTGGGTCTGGAATTTGGTGCAGAGACTAAAGAAGAGAGAGTGGAAAAATTGCGTGAAAGGATAAGAAAGGAGAGGAATATTTCTTGTTATTCTGGATGATATTTGGGGGAAAGTTGATTTGGCAGAAGTGGGGATTCCTTTTGGTGATGACCACAAAGGATGCAAGTTGTTGGCGTCTGAACATCGAAATGTGCTTAAACGTCTGATGGGTACTCAAAGATTTTAGACTTGAAATTTTATCTGATGAGGAAAGTTGGAGGTTGTTTGAGAAGATTGCAGGTGATGAAGTCAATGAGAGCAGCACAAAAGTTATCGCACAAGAAGTGGTCAAATGTTGTAGAGGTTTGCCCCTTTTACTAGTTGCTGTAGCAAAGGCTTTGCAAGGAAAAGATGTCTCTGTTTGGGATGATGCCTTAAAACAATTGAAGGGATTGGATGAACTAGGGTTTCTTAATGAAGTTGTCTGTCCTTTGGATTTATGTTATGATTTTTTAGATAACTACGAATTACAGTCTTTGTTCTTATTCATTGTTTCATTTGGACCTGGCCGAATCCACACTGGAGAATATGGAGATTCTCAATCACTAACAGAGGCAAGAAATAAATATTATAAATTAATAGATGATCTTAGGGCCTCTTCATTGTTGATTGAAGATGGAACTGAGTATGTTAGAATGCATGATGTTGTTCGTGATATGGCTAAAGCAATTGCCTCAAGGTCTCACCTGACTTGTGAAGTACCAAACTTCACACAAATGGAGCAATGGGATTTTGATCAGCTTCAAAGATGCTATTATATTAATTTACCTTCTTTTATAAATAGATGGAGCTTCCTGAGAAGCTGGATTGCCCACAGTTGAAGGTAATGTCACTAAGAAGAAATCATGGCTTCTTAATTTACATGGAATGAGGTTTTTGTTAGTAAATTTTGGGTCATGTATATATATGATACATATTTAAATGTGTTAGGGTCATTATTTATTAAGCCAAATAATAAAGTGATATGAATAAATTAAAGTTTTGGCTAAAAGCATATGTCATGAAAATATGATTATGTAGAGACCATAGAGTAATTTCTAATTTGATGAGGGGCCAAATTGAAAATACTAAAACTTAAGTAATTAACCTAATTTTGGTTATATAAAGGGTCATGGTCCCCTTCTGAGAGTACATAGACAGAACGTAGTTACAGTCTCGTTCTTTTCTTTCTATCCCCATCAAGAGAGAAAATCCATAGGGAAATACAGGTGCTCTTTAGGTGGAAGACCATAAGATCAATTCAAAGGTGCTCTACAAAGAATATCATCATTATGGATAATTCAAGTACGCTTTCGCATTTAGTTTATAACATGTTTACAGTATGAGATTATATATATGTTTGATCATTAGATTGGAGATCATAATTTAATTATCAATTTACCTAACAATTGGTATCAGAGCAACCCATACTTGATTCATGTTTGTATTTGGAAATTAGATTTAATAAAATTGAGATTTAAGAATTGCCTTGGAAAATAATCTCCAAAGTTTACGAACCCTAAATTTAAATTTGGGGTAAATTCTCAAATTCCCAAATCGAACGAGGGAACCCTGGTAGCTAGCACCACGATTGGGACAAAAGTCGGATCTGATTGCGCGACCCTTTTATAATAATTTACGAATCAAAATCTCATTTCATCTTCGCCATGGGAGACCTCAACAACGATCCTCTGATGCGCAACCAAAACGCCGTCGTTCAGGCCCGTACCAAGGCCCAGAACCGCGCCAATGTCCTTCAGCTCAAGCTGATTGGACAGAATCACCCAAATGGTCTCACAGCGAATCTATTGAAGCTCTTTGAGCCTAGGCCTCCTTTGGAATATAAACCGCCCCCGGGAGAAAAGAAAATGTCCACCGCTTATAGGGATGGCGCAATTTGTGAGCAAGTTGGCTAATTCAGTGCGGGGCCCATGCCTGCAAGGGCTTATAGGAGATATTGAATTTGGGAGGTGAGATTAGACTGATGGAGAAACTTTTGGAAGTGGACCCCACTGACATAAATGATGGAAATAGTAAAAGGTTTGAGTGGGAAGAACATGTGTTGGTTTGGTTTGGCGGTGACAGTATTTGGGGTTAGGGAAAATTGATAAATGCCCCTGACTATTCCCGAGTAATTGTTTTACAAATTGTAGTGGTGGTCTCCGCGCCATATAATTTTTTCATATATAAACAAATAATCAAATTTTGGTTTTGTTGTATAATATTCAAATTTTGTGGTAGTTTAATATTTTTTGAGAGCAAATTGAGTCAAGAAGTTACCAAAGTAACATCTCTTGAATTGGGTAGTTCGTGAAAAATATTAAATGTTAGTGTTTGTGTATATTCATGCGAGTATTAGTCGGCCCAAAGGAAGATTAATATTTGGCCGAATTGCATATACACTTGTAATGATAAACATGTGATAATTATAAAGATTTGCTTTGTCGATGATAAATCAATCCAAAGACTGGTTTGTTGTTGGACGTGCTTTATTGTCAATGTTTGATTATTACAACAAGATATCTCTAGTAGTTAATATTTCTGTCCAAAGACTTGATATTGATGGTGCATTGGGTGTCTTGAGATGGGTTAAACCATTATTTGAATATATATTTTATTTATAATTATTTATTTTTTTATAATGTGAGCATAATTAATTTATTTCTCTTGTTTTTTAATTAGCTACAATTGTTTCTGTATCTGTCAATTTAAATTATGTTCCGATCCTCAAAAGTATGTTTCCTATTGTGGTTTGTTCTGAAGTCAATTTAGCGTCAGTACCTAGTAACACTTGGTGGTTAGACTCAGGTGCAACTACTAACATCAGTGTTTCTATAAAGGGTTGCCTAAGCTATCGGAAGCCAATTGATTCTGAAAGATGGATATATGTTGGAGATGGCAAATCGGTAGAGGTGGAAGCCATAGGACATTTTAAATTGTTATTGAGTACTGGTTTTTATTTGGATTTGAAAGACACTTTTGTTATGCCGTCATTTAGACGAAATTTGGTTTCAGTTTCTTATCTGGACAAATTAGGTTATTTGTGTTCATTTGGAAACAATAAGTTCAGTTTGTCTTTTAAATTCAGATATTATTGGAACTGGTTCACTTTTGCCTTATGATAATCTGTATTTACTTGATAATGTGACCACCTATAATGAAACCCTTAATACAAAATCACGGGGTACTAAACGTAAAATTGATGATACTCACTCAGGAGCATTATGGCACAGGCGCTTAGGTCACATCTCTAAAAATAGATTTGAACGACTTGTGTTAAATAGAATCTTAGAGTCCATTGACTTCACAAACTTTGATGTTTGTGTTGAATGCATTAAGGGCAAACAGACCAAAGCGAAGAGATTAGGTGCATATAGAGCAGTTTGTGAAGTCAATGGATTCCATTTGACACAAGTCGTAAACCTATTTTTAGAGATGTGATCAAGCGCCCGTGCCATAATGCACCTCGAGTGAGTATCATCAATTTTACGTTTAGTACCCCGTGATTCTGTATTAAGGGTTTCATTATAGGTGGTCACATTATCAAGTAAATACGGATTATCATAAGGCAAAAGTGAACCAGTTCCAATAATATCTGAATTAAAAGGACAAACCGACTTATTGTTTCCAAATGAACACAAATAACCTGATTTGTCCAGTATAAGAAACCGAAAACCAAATTCCGTCTAAATGACGGCACGACGAAAGTGCCTTTCAGATCGAATATAAAAACCCGCACTCAATAACAATTTAAAATGCCCTATGGCTTCCACCTCTACCGATTTGCCCCGTCTCCAACATATATCCGTCTTGCGGATCGATTGGGCTTCCTGTGAGCTCAGGCAACCCTTTTATAGAAACGCCTGATGTTAGTAGTTGCACCCGAGTCTAACCACCAAGTGTTACTAGGTACCGACGCTAAATTGACTTCGGCATCGTACCCAGAGTCGGAACATACTTTTCGAGGATCTGACATACTCAGATTGCGTATGTAGAAACAATCGTTGCTAAATTAAAACACAGAGAGAAATAAATTAATTATGCTCACATTATAAAATAAATAATTAATTAAATAAAATATGTATATTTCAAATAATGGTTTAACCCATTCCAAGACACCCGATGCGCCATCATATATCAAGTCTTTGAGCCGCACATTAACTTGCTCGAGGTATCTGTTGTCAGAATAATCAAACATTGACAATCAAGCACGTCCAACAACAAACCACTTTTGCGATTGATTTATCATCGACAAAGCAAATGCTTTTATAATTATCACATGTTTATCATTACAAGTGTATATGCAATTCGGCCAAATATTAACCTTTCCGTTGGGCCGACTACATACTCGCATTGAATATACACAAACACTAA